GCACCACTGGGTGGGGAATTGATACATGACAAGGCAGATGCGGTCAAGACCCTCTGGAAACAAGCAACGGAATCAATAGAGAAACAAGATTATTATGGCCTGCAGAGAATGAGACACCTGGGTGTAACCAGAGGGTCTGGCTGGCTCACTACACTCAGAGGAAAGGCAAAATGGACATGTAACCAGATTGTGACCAGTACCATCAGTATTGGAACTCTGTGCTGGCTGCTGAAGAAGAGAACGGAGCACATATGGGAATGCCCCCAGTGCTGTGATGTCATTTCTTCACTAAACTCAACCTATTGTTCTCTTGTGCCATTAAATATCACACATTTGGCTTGCAGTCTTTCCCCCTCATTCCGTTCTATCGTGTGCAGTCTCTTTGTTATCATGGATGGAATCCAGTGCAGTCACTTTGTTATCATGGATGGAATCCAGTGCAGTTACTTTGTTATCATGGATGGAATCCAGTGCAGTCACTTTGTTATTCCACTGCAGTCACTTTGTTATCATGGATGGAATCCAGTGCAGTCACTTTGTTATCGTGGATGGAATCCAGTGCAGTCACTTTGCTATCATGGATGGAATCCAGTGCAGTCACTTTGTTATCATGGATGGAATCTAGTGTTGTGTCTTTGTTATTATGGATGGAATCCAGTGCTGTCTCTTTGTTATCATGGATGGAATCCAGTGCTGTCTCTTAGTTATCATGGATGGAATCTAGTGCAGTCTCTTTGTTATTGTGGATGGAATCCAGTGCAGTCTCTTTGTTATCATGGATGGAATCCAGTGCAGTCACTTTGTTATCATGGATGGAATCCAGTGCAGTCTCTTTGTTATCATGGATGGAGTCAGTGCAGTCACTTTGTTATCAGGGATGGAATCCAGTGCAGTCAATTTGTTATCATGGATGGAATCCAGTGCAGTCACTTTGTTATCATGGATGGAATCCAGTGCGGTCACTTTGTTATCATGGATGGAATCCAGTGCAGTCACTTTGTTATCGTGAATGGAATCCAGTGCAGTCTCTTTTTTTATCATGGATGGAATCCAGTGCAGTCTCTATGTTATCATTAATGGAATCCAGTGCAGTCACTTTGTTATTGTGGATGGAATCCAGTGCAGTCACTTTGTTATCATGGATGGAATCCAGTGCGGTCACTTTGTTATCATGGATGGAATCCAGTGCAGTCACTTTGTTATCATGGATGGAATCCAGTGCGGTTACTTTGTTATCATGGATGGAATCTAGGGCAGTCTCTTTGTTATCGTGAATAGAATCCAGTGCAGTCACTTTGTTATCATGGATGGAATCCAGTGCAGTCTCTTTGTTATTGGGGATGGAATCTAGTGCAGTCACTTTGTTATTGTGGATGGAATCCAGTGCAGTCACTTTGTTATCATGGATGGAATCCAGTGCAGTCTCTTTGTTATCATGGATGGAATCCAGTGCAGTCACTTTGTTATCATGGATGGAATCCAGTGCAGTCTCTTTGTTATCATGAATGGAATCCAGTGCAGTCTCTTTTTTATCATGGATGGAATCCAGTGCAGTCTCTATGTTATCATGAATGGAATCCAGTGCAGTCACTTTGTTATTGTGGATGGAATCCAGTGCAGTCACTCTGTTATCATGGATGGAATCCAATGCAGTCACTTTGTTATCATGGATGGAATCCAGTGCAGTCACTTTGTTATCATGTTTGGAATCCAGTGCGGTCACTTTGTTATTGTGGATGGAATCCAGTGCAGTCACTTTGTTATCATGGATGGAATCCAGTGCGGTCACTTTGTTATCGTGGATGGAATCCAGGGCAGTCACTTTGTTATCATGGATGGAATCCAGTGCGGTCACTTTGTTATCGTGGATGGAATCCAGTGCGGTCACTTTGTTATCATGGATGGAATCCAGTGCGGTCACTTTGTTATCGTGGATGGAATCCAGTGCAGTCACTTTGTTATCATGGATGGAATCCAGTGCGGTCACTTTGTTATCGTGGATGGAATCCAGTGCAGTCACTTTGTTATCATGGATGGAATCCAGTGCAGTCACTTTGTTATTGTGGATGGAATCCAGTGATGTCACTTTGTTATCATGGATGGAATCCAGTGCAGTCTCTTCATTATTGTGGATGGAATCCAGTGCAGTCACTTTGTTATCATGGAGGGAATTCAGTGCGGTCACTTTGTTATCATGGATGGAATTCAGTGCAGTCACTTTGTTATCATGGATGGAATCCAGTGCAGTCACTTTGTTATCGTGGATGGAATCCAGTGCAGTACCATTGGCCTTTCTCAAAAACCTTTACCTTAGAATATCTCTTGGACATGCTCGTTTCCTCAGTTTCTTTTTTTCCCATTTCACTGTTTGTTTGGAGAATCTCTGTTTGTCTCTTCTCAGAATGCATCCAGTTTAGCACCATCTTCTCTGTCTTATAACTGTTGATTTTTTTTAAATACCCAGAAACCATAAGTAGTAAACCCTCTGGCTCAGTACTAAGGATATTGCAACCTTTTGGCCTTGATTCCATGATAGATACCGTATATCTGGTCTGGGAGAAATCTGGCTTTTCTGCCTACACCCGGGTGTGAACCCAGACCACAGAAAGTTCATTACCTGGTCGCCACAAAGTCTGGTTTAACCACCTACATACTAGTGCTTGCCCAGACATTTCTCTTATTTCTTCATGCCTCTTGAATTCATCCTATTTTAGTTCAAAAGTGTGTTTTTACATTTTTTTTCTTCAGTATGTCAGTCATTATGTTTATAGAATAATATCTTGTTTGAATTAGTGATTATATATTGGATATTGCAGTTTTATAAGATACTGATGGACAGAACTAGATGCAGTCATGTGAGAAACCAAGAAATTACTAGAATTACTGGAACAACATATAATTAAATTCACTGAAAAACAAAGAGTGAAATGGTTTGTCCTAAAACAAAGATTAAAATGGTTTGTCCTAAAACAAAGAGTGAAATGGTTTGTCCTAAAACAAAGAGTGAAATGGTTTGTCCTAAAACAAAGAGTGAAATGGTTTGTCCTAAAACAAAGAGTGAAATGGTTTGTCCTAAAACAAAGAGTGAAATGGTTTGTCCTAAAACAAAGAGTAAAATGGTTTGTCCTAAAACAAAGAATGAAATGGTTTGTCCTAAAACAAAGAGTGAAATGGTTTGTCCTAAAACAAAGAGTGAAATGGTTTGTCCTAAAACAAAGAGTGAAATGATTTGTCCATTTAATAAAAAAAAAAAAATTCAATGGTGCTAACAGTGAGAGCATGCATCATGAAAGTAGAAACACTAGGAGGTCGGGGATGACTAACAAGAATGTGGATTGAAGGAGTCACTGATACCTTTAGAAAGCCTAAACCCCTTGAGTGAACTGCCACCTTTCCCAGCATCTTTCCCTTTAGTGCACCCTCACCTCAGTTTCTCCCCATTAAACCCCCCCCCCCGACACCTTTCCTGTAATCTTTCACTTGAGTGACCCCCCCCCCCCCCCCCCCCAATATCTAAAACTATCCTCTGCATCTCCCATTTGAATGCCCCCTCCCCCACTTCACCCACCAATCTCCAACACAATATTTATGTGCAGACATCAGTAAGTTTAAGTGTATTTCAAGGATGACTGATTTCAGCACAAGCCGACTGATCTACCTGTTCATGTTACCTGTCCTACAATAAAAGGCATGGGACACTATCATTGCACACTACACAAATATTCCCAGGCTTATATCCCCATCAAGACATGGTTGTTAATTCTGTATAATAACAGTCATAAATAAATGCTGTTCAAACAAACTATTAGCCTGATAGTTGTCCATGCATGAGCTATTTCTTCAGTCTGAATTTCAAGTTCTTCTTTATAATGTTTACCACCGGCTGTAAACTTTGGCAGAAAGTTCTGGTTGTTCGTCGACTTCTGGATTTCTGTCTTATTCCAGAACTTGAGTTTTGTTTGCACATCTGTGTTAACAAATTTGGTCTTATTTGTGTGCAGATTGTTGGTTCCTTGTCCCCCAGGTGGATGCATTCTTACTTGAAAGGAAACACCCCTAATTAGTCATCTTTTACAGCATGCTGTGTTATGGGGTGAAAGGGGGAATGGGGGTGGATCTGTTATCCCCCCTCCCCATGTGGGACACTGAAACTCGTACATAGAGCCAGTTGGAAGTTTGTTTTGGCTATATAAAAAAGTAAGATGAGGTAAAAACTGTAAACACGAGGGAGCTCGTAGACCATGAGGCTGACCAAGAAGATGATGAAGTGATAATATCCAGACAGAGCAGACCTACAAACAGTCACCAACTGGAAAGAGAAGGCCAACCAGAGAGAGATGAATGGAGGAGGATGATATCTACAACAGTGAACCTCAAGGGCTCAGAATGCTGAAGAGGAAGGAGAAGAAAATGATTAAAAAAAAAAGAAGAGTAAAGAACTCTTTAATGTTAGCAACACCTCTAGCATGTTTATTGTTTATTCAATAGATCAACATCCTGGCACACAGGTGTAACCCATAAGTGCTCCGTTCTTCTTCTAACTCAAGCCTGAGTCTGAAGTGCACAAACTCTTTTTGGTTGTTTCACAAACTCTGTTGTGCCGGCGAGGATCCTGAAATACTTTGGGTAGATTTTTAACTCCAAATTTTCCCCAGGCAGCGCCATTAGTCTACTCTTTTTGATTTCCAACTGCCAAGGGAATTTTTACGTGCGCAACAATACACACGGGCATCCGGTCTTACTACCCAGAGACCAGGGAAAATTACCAGAAGTCCATGTGAAAAAATCCCACCCTTCACCGGGGCTTGACACTGGGACCTCTAGCGCTCGAGGCGGACACCATGCCTTGAGACCACGCAGCCCCCTGATCAAGCATATGGTGCTGAACCCATATTGTAGAGCCCGGTGGACACATTCATGCCAGCCATCATTACTTCCCAGGATAGCACCTGGAACTTTTACTGTTTACAGAATTGCACTGTATATGCTATTTTTTCCAGGGGCTGCCGAGGGGGGTAAGAGCACCCTTGTGAAGCAGATGAAAATCATCCACCATGATGGATTCTCTTACGAGGAGCTGATATCCTTTAGGGTGAGACATGTTTGTGTGTTGGTGTTTATGTTTGGAGATGAACAGCTAGGTGGATTGTTAGAGTACTAGAGATCCTCAAGGGAATGACCCACATTAGATCAGGAGATGGAGATTTGGTGCTTTATTAATATCCTACCCCAAACAGTAAATCCACAGTTTACGGGACAGTCTTATATTTCAGGGAGTGGTAGATAGGCTGCATGCAGTCATGGAACCTAGGCTGCACTCTCTCGTGGGATGTAGGTGGGTTAGGGTAAGAGCTAGTTCTAGATGTTTTGGGGTCGTTAAAAGCATCAGCAAACCAGAAAACCCAGTCTTACCACCCTCTAAAATGTTGGACTGTCATGCGACGACATCTGGGGTAAGATATTAATAAAGAACCAGAGATTTTGTCTTTCAGAGAAAAAACTGAATAACCTGTAGCGACTGCACTAATCATTCCCTATGTATGTTCCCAGGACCCTATTTTGAAGGAAACAAGAATGCACCCACTGTCCTCGTTAAAGGTGACCAATTAGGATTGTTTTCTTTGAAGTTGGTGTGCCCCTGCCTGAGAGGCGAGGAGCCAGCAGTCTGCACACAAATAAGGCCTATCTGTAAAAGGGACATGCACACAAAACTCAAGTTCTGGAATAAGAGCAAAGTCCAAAAATGGATGAATAATGATAATTTTTCTTTGGAATTTACAGCCATTGAACACAAGGAGGAAGAAGGAGAAGCAGCAGCAGCCATATAGCCTGAAATCTTAGGCCCCCCCGTGACTTGTTCCTCCTGACCCCACAACCAGGTAGTAAATGCAGTCAGTAAAAGCAGTAAAAGTAAAGGGCCCTTTTCCACTCCTTCAGGCGTATTGGGCCCATAAAGCTAGACTTATATTTTATAGAACAGTTGGCACTCGTTAGATGATGTGGTCAACGTCGCACCGGCCAAGGTTACTTCCCAGGAGTACCTGGTACCCATTTAAGGCTGGGTCGACCTGGGTAACCACGGTTGTTTAAAAAAAAATATTCTTACTCCGTTTGGATGTGAACCCTAGACCTTCGGGATTTGCAGGCGAGCATCTATCTGCTGCAATGCAGCGGCTGCCCGTTAAAGACATCAGTTACATTTATTTACTCATGTTTGCTGTTGGAGTAGCAGCACTAGGACACTGATAATGATAACAACTCTTAAACAAATCTTTACTTGACAAAATGCCCCTTGTGGGTTTCTTGGCAACATTTTAAAAGGAGAAAAAAAAGAATAGACCCACTGCTTCTTAATCTTCTTCGATGGAAATTTCTGGTTGTTTGTCCACTTCTGAACTCTAGTCCTGTTCCAGGAACTGAATGTTGCGTGCACATCTGTTTCACAGGTCTGACTCATTTGCATGAAGACCGTTGGTTCCTTGCCTCTCAAGCTGAGGTGAATTTGAAGGAAGCTTCCAGTTAGTCAACTTTTAATGTCATGCTTTGGGGCAGGCATTGGGTCTATTCTTGTTTTTCCCCACAAGGGGCCCCGGAACCCACACAGGGATGTTTCTTAATAAGAATGTCATAAAAGTGACTTGTAATTTGCAAAATTGGGATGTGTTGGGTCAAAAGGCATAGATATTACCGCCTGGCTATAGATCACAGCATGGGGTGCCATTTACAATTTTAAAAGTTGCACAGAATAAGGAGAACTTGATAAACTAGTTTGAGGTTTGAACAACGGATCAACATCATGGCACACGAGTGTAACCCATAAGTGTTCCGTTCTTCTTCTAACTTAAGTCTGAGTCCGAAGAAGCTCAGCACAGTGCACAGTCAACCCTTGATAAACTAGTCTGCAGTGGGATAATAGCAGAAACCTATTTATTGTAAATAATGAGAACACAGGGAACAAATTGTACAATTAGTTGCCCGGCATTCTTTTCTCGCATGCGTAATAGAGCACGCTATACACACACACACACACACACACATATCGGCATCTGTGAACTTTCTTCGTAATGCCACGATGCCAGGTTTGATATCAGCTGCAGATGATTTGGCAGCAGACCATCTTGCATTGGTTTCGAACAGTGGTATCAATAGTTGACCATTCAGAAGGCAGTGGAAAACTAATGAACATAAAATTTGCATGGTAAAAACTACAGCAGCCAAAAAATTTTGTTTGGTTCTGAAACATCCTGTGAAGGATACACAACTAACTTTATTGAAAAACTATTTTTTTAATTTTTTTAAAGAGCCAGTTTTAACATATTACTTTGAATCCTGGACAGTAAATAAACAAGTAAAACCCTTTTTTTAGGCTTCTGAGATGTGGTTTTACCTATACATCCCTAGAATTACTTGGGCAGCCAAAAAAGAGCATCCTAGATGTTTAGAAAGAGGCGAGGGTGTGAAAACTTATCATCATAAACATCAGAAAGAGCCATTCATCGTTTTTTGGTCATGAAGAACAACTACTGTAGAGATCTGGGGGGAAAAAAGAAACAATGGAAGACAGTGTGAGATGATTCTTAACAGCCTGTTTTTGTCATGGCATGGAAGGGTGTCAGCACACTGACTGATACATAGTGTTGAAGATTGCAGATTGTATGGAGGCATGATTGCCCATGGCCAGTGGCACATCACATGATGATTCTTTTCCCCTGTTTGGGTTCCAGAGCTCCATTGTTGGTGGGGGGGGGGGGGAAGACAGAATAGACCCACTTTTTTCCTAACTAGGCTGTCTCAAGAGTTAACTAATTAATGGTTTCCTTCCATGTGCAGATTCTGGGGCCCTATTATAAGGAAAACAAGAATAGACCCACTGCCTACACAAAAGCATGACGTAAGAGTTGACTAATTAAGAGCTTCCTTCGAAGTCGGAGTGCATCTGCCTAACAAGCAAGAAACCAACAGTCTGTACACAAATTAGTCAGACGTGTCAAACAGATGCACACGCAACACTCAGGTTCTGAAATAGGACTGCAGTCCAGAAGTGGACAACCAACCAGAACTTTCCGCCAGAGTTTACAGAAGGCGAAGAAGAAGAAGAAAAATGGTTTCCGTCTCGGTCTGAGCGCATCTGCCAAAGAGGTGCAGAACCAACAGTCAGAAAAAGTTCACAAGTCCAGAAGTAGATGATCAAGCAGAACTTTCTGACAGAGTTTACTGCAGAAACAGCAGAAGAAGAAGAAGTTTGAAATCGATGCTCCGGACTCAAAGAGTTATATGATCTATTTTTTTTGGTTCGTTTCGCAGCCGGCAGTTTTAGAGAACCTTGTGAGCTCCATGAAGTTTGTATTAAGTGGCATGGGATTGCTCAGGATTAATTTAGAGAAATCCAACAACAAGGTAAATAAATCCTCTCATTCTGGTTGGCTTTTATTGTGTGGCTAGTTTTTATAATTATATTATATCTATGTGAGTTTTTGAGGGGGTGGGGGGGGGAACTTCTTGGAAGTCTTGGGTGCATCTGCCTGAGAGGCCAGGACCAACATTGTTCATACAAATAAGATAGATCTGTAAAATTGAAGTGAACAACAACCAAATCTTTCCACCAGAGTTTACAGCTGGTGAACGCTAAGAAGAAGAAGAAGAAAGATAAAAAGGCCAATAAAAAATGACGGGTGGGGAGGGGGGTGTGTGTGCTGAGTGGTTTCGAGGCATTGTGTCCGCCTTGAGTGCTAGAGGTTTCAGGTTCTATCCCCAATAAGGGCTGGGATTTTTTCACAAGGACTTGGACTTCCCTCTGGTTTCTGGGAAGTGAGATCGGATGCCCATGTGCATTGTTGCACACGTACAAAATCCCTTGGCAGTTGGAAATCAAAAAAGAGTAGCCTCACAGCACTTCTTCTTCTTCTTCTTCATTTCCTCTTTTACCGCTGTGGGTGTCGAGGGAGATATAAGGTTCTGTTTCTAGCTCTTCTGGCTGCCTCGACCATAAGCACATCGTGCTGTTGTAGAGTTTCTCTGATGTTATCCTTCCATCTTGTTCTTGGTCTACCCCGTGCTCTACGTCCTTCTTCTCTTTCCATGTATGCTTTGTATGGTATGGTGTCACAAGGCATTCTCTCTAAGTGGGCACTGCCTGGGAAAAAATTGGAATTAAAAATCTACCCAAAGTATTTCAGGATCCTCACCGGTGCTACAGAGCCTGTGCACTGTACTGAGCTTTTTCAGACTCAGACTTTAGTTAGAAGAAGACCAGAGCACTTTTGGGTTACTACCCATGTGCCATGATGTTGATCCGTTGTTGTAAGCCTCAATGACAGATGACATATCAGTTTATTACATTGGCAACTGTGAACTTGTTTTAATGACAGTCTAAAGATGAGTTGAGCTGAGTCAAGAATTGACATCACAGCACTTGGGGCATTTCCATGAATGCTCCGTCCTCATCTTCAGCAGCCAGCGCACAGTTCCAATACTGATGTTACCGGTCACAATCTGGTTATATGTCCGTCTTGCCTTTCCTCTTAGTGTAGTGAGCTAGCCAGACCCTCTGGTTACACCCAGGTGTCTCATTCTCTCCAGGCCATAATAATCTTGTTTCTCTACTGATTCCGTTGTTTGTTCCTAAAGGGCCTTGACCACATCTGCCTTGTCACTTATCAGTTCACCACCCAGTGGTGTGGATCCAGCCAGTCTGTCTGCCTGTTCATTACCCCCTATGCGGTATAGCCTGGAGAAAAGATCCAAAGTATGCTCACTATCCGTGACCTTCCAAGTGAAGCTTGCCACTCTGCTCAAAGCGGTCAAAAGATGAATAATGCAGTGGTGTGAACATGGAACAGGATCTACCAGCCTTGTTAGAATTATACTGCTGGGTTCGGTAGCGAGGCAGACCAAGAAGACCTGGATACAAAGTCTAATTGATGGGACAAGCCTCAGACATGCAAACTTCAAGTCTGCAATAGGATTGATGGGTCACTTCTTCTTCTTCTTTTCCACCTTGTACCTCAGCGAAGTGTCGGGGGAAGATGTAACATTCATTGATGAGCTATGTCAAGAGCACTATTATCACTGATGTTTATTTCTGTAAGGCCATCACTCCTTATTTTCTGAGATCTTCCACTCACTCTATACCTGTTGTAACGTTTTAGTATGGCTCGCTGTGGCAGATAGTACCAGGGCGTTCTTTTTAGGTGTCGAAACCACTTCATTTGTTGTTCTTTGATGACTTGTAAGACTGGCTTTATTCCTGGCATCGTCTGATTTTGAATGGGTCACCGAGTGAATTAAAAAGACAGTGAATGAATTAATCAAGAATTGACATCACTGCACTTTGGACAATTCCCACATGTGCTCCATCCCCTTCTTCAGTAGTCAACGAAGAGTCTTCATGCTAATAGTACCTGCTGCAACCTGATTAAAATATCCCCCCCCCCCCCCCCCAAATTGAATGAATCTTTCAGTGTATGGATTCTCTATTTGTTTAGTTGTGCTGTCCATTTGATCCCATAGAGGAGTGGAAGCAGCTAATCTATCAGCCTGCTCATTATCTGGCACACCTGAATGTCCTGCACAGTGAAGTTCATGATAAGAAACAACATTGCAAAAATACATAAAATCTATTTCAAACAAACGAAAGAAGTAGAAGAAATCTGTGAGATGGAGGGAGCTGGTCAGACAGTCAAAGGAGGCTGGCGGTCTGATTACACACAGTGGAATGGGACTGTAATGATGATTTTCTATAAGTTTTCAGTATATTTTTAAAAATTAAAGATAATCTGGTGACAGGCCTGGCAAGCAAGCCTGTAGGGAATTTATTTCTTCATGTAAAATTGCTTTAAAAAAAAATTATAGTTTTTTGGTCATGAAGAACAACTACTGTAGAGATCTGGGGGGGGGGGGGGGAAAGAAAAAATGGAAGACAGTGTGAGATGATTCTATCTATTGTCTTCTTCACTTTTACCGGGTTGCAGCCCAGTGTCGTGGTTTAAAATATTTGTTTTGTGCCTCTCGCGTGATTTGAGTGACAGTTTTCTGGATCATCTGGCCGTATTCAGCTACTCCATCTATCCATTTTTTCCTGCTTCTTCCTCTGGCCTTTCTTCCCGATGTTTTATTGTAAAAGGCCTTATAGGCAATCTGATCCGGTTGCATTCTTATTAAATGACCAAACCACTTCATTCTCTGTCTGTCAATATAAGAAATGAATGACAAACCAAAAATAACTATGAGTGCAGAAAGGGAGATTGTAAATAGTATATTTATGCCAACACTGACCTACAAGTGCCAAACGTAAACATTATCTAAAGCCTGTGTGTGCAAAATCACCATTGTGGGAATGAACGCCTTACAAAAGCCGCCAACCTAACCATCTAAGATCAAGCTATAAGGATAAATGGCTATCCCGTAAAAAAAAGTTTGACAGTATCTATGCATAAAACAAATCTGCTTCTCAACTTTCTTTACCTTCGGATAAATCTCTTAAACACTTTTTTAATTTAAATGTGAGGCTTTTAAAGCCATAAATCTTGCTGGCATGCATGAAGAAGTCTGCTCGGAGGCCATCTATTTTTCAGACAGACAACTAGTAACTTGTGTCTACAGCTTACAAACATGGTGTATTTTATTCTTTTAACCACATTTCTGAATAAGCCTAATGGTCAACACATGTGTTATGAAACATGAAGAACAGGATATACCATGCAAAACTGCCGGTTAGTGTTTTTATACTAGCGATTGGTAAATTAAATGCCTGTACACCTCAGGGGCTGATTGGACAGCTAGGTAAGTAACTAATTAGCACGTGATGCGTTCCTTAGGACTCGAAGAGTTAATGAGCTAGCAACAAAGGTTCATGTAATAGGTGCATTGTTCATAAATCAATAACAGTAAAGTAATTTGCCATAGGGAAACGGAGAACTAAAACAGTTACTAACAAACTTCCAATGTTCATGAATTGGTGTTTGAACAGATTACAGGAAATTATATGGTATAATAGAATAACTAATGTGGAACTTTGGGGTTTAACCCTAACTACTGACTTGCCTGATGTATGTTTACCTATAACTTGTGACTTCATCTGAGGTATGTTATAATTTGTCTTGTATCATGTATGTTTAACCATAACTTGTCTCCTGTATGTTTAACCATAATTTGTCTATATATGTTTAACCATAATTTGTCTCATGTATTTGTAACCATAATTTTCTATGTATGTTTAACCATAATTTGTCTATTTATATTTAACCAAAAGTTGTCTCATGTATGTTTAACCATAATTTGTCTCATGTATGTTTAACCATAATTTGTCTCATGCAAATGTTTAGCCATAACTTGTCTGATGTAAGCTTAACCGCACTTCTGATGTATGTTCAACCAGAGCTGTGTTTACATCTGTGCAGTTCACAGTGCGGCAGTTAGTCGTAATATAAGGTTTATATTTGTAATGTTTCTGTTATGAAACTTGCATTGGATTAGCTTTCTGGAGTTTAACTAAGGGAATAGGAGACGTTACATGAATGACTGCACAGGGGCTTCATCATCATCATGTAGCAGGTCCTTTGCAGAACGTCGCTCTCATCACAGTCTGCCTGTAAGAAACTCGGTCTCTTGCCTGTTCTCCCGCCTCATGAACTTTCACACTTAAGGAGTCACATATATCCTGTGCCCATCTTCGTGTCGGTCGGCCTCTGCCCCTCCTTCCTGGTACCATGCCTTCTGCTATAATTTTTTCCAATCCGTCGTGGCGCTTGATATGACCAAAATATTTCAGCTTCCGATACAGGATGCTGTTTATTAGCCAATCTTCCTTGATGTTCAGATCTTTTAAGATGTCAATATTTCTCATCTTCTTTGTGCAAGATATTCTGAGAATCTTTCTATAGCATTTCAGCTCAAAAGCCCCTATTCTCTTTCTTAAGGACTGCAAGACAGTCCACGACTCACATCCGTATGTAGCTACAGGGAAGATGCATGCTCTCAAAATTCTAATTTTTATCTCCTTACTGTTGCTTAACCATAGACTTTTAAGGGCCAAAGCTTGCTACGGGGGCGTCATATGTACTAAATACAACCCTGTGTTTAAGCATAATCTGGGATATTTCTGATACATGTATTATTTTACCGTGTGACTTGTGTGGTGTTTATTTAACCTTAACTTGTGACTTCTTTGCTTATGTTTAACCTTAATAAGTGACTTCTCTGATTATGTTAACCTTAATGAGTGACTTCTCTGATTATATTTAACCTCAACCCCTCTCAATTCTCTGTATATTTAAAAAAATTATTACACTTGGATAATAAGTTATAAATTCTTGTTGTCTGCATCCACAGGCCTATGTCCACTGTATTTTATCCAACCAGTGTTGCTACGATGAGGAGAACCTCATGCTGGCACACGTTTACGAGGCTTTACGTAATCTGTGGAGAGACAGAGGTGTCCGCTCGGCTGTGGCTCGGGGATATGAGTATGAGCTGAACGACTCTGCTATTTAGTAAGTACTTCATAACTGCTAACATGTAGAAAAAAAGTGATAAAAATCTGTGTTCTAAAATGTAGGAAATGTGAATTTTGTGTTCATGAGTAGAAGTGTTTAGTTAAACATGAATCTACGACAGGTCTGGCAAACCGGTGGAAGATTTAACTACCTACACGATGATGCCTAAGAACAATTTAGGAGATGTGAAAGTGTGTGAACTAAGTTCAACTACAGTAAATAAGATGGTTTGGCCACCCGGTGAGAATGCCCTGGTACCAACTGCCACGCTGAAGAAATATAATAAGCACAGAGCAAGGGGAAGACCACGCAAGACATGGAGGGACATCAGGAGTGACCTAACAGACATGAACACCAACTTGTACAATGCATTGGAAAAACGATCCTTACAACTTCTCCCAACACCTTGTTGAGGTAAATGGTGGAAGAGAAGAAGAAGAAGAAGAACTTCATAACTCACTACACATGCCAATTTCTAATTTGCATAGAGAAATGTTAAAAGAAATTGCCTTCGAAGTCAGAGTACACCTGCCTGAGATGTGAAGAACCAACAGTCTGTACTACACATAATCCAGACTAGTAAAACAGATGTGCATGCCAGACCTCTCATTCTGGAACAAGACCAAAGTCTAAAAAAATAGAAAGGTTGACCATAAGTCCCTAGCTGGGACAGTATTGTTTTTTAGGTAGGCCCAAGCTGTTCTGTCGATACTATTAAGAAAAAAAAGTCATTTGGGAGAATTGACATCATCATCGGCAGAACGGTTTGGGCGTAAACAAACAGCCATTGAACACCAAGAAGAAGAAGAAAGATAATCTCTGAATTCACATAAACAGTAAAGAAGGAAAGAAGCGGCCAAAAAAGACGACACATAAGAAAAGATGAAGAAGAAGAGGATCGTGAAGAAAGAATAAGAAATGCATAGAAAAAAACGGGGGCTGCAGTGTCGACCAACATTCACAATAACAGTTACACCACTGATGAGAATAATTGTGACTACCAATTGTGAAGTTGTGTGTTTACAGATACTGTGATTGTATGAAGACAACAAAGATGTGGTTTTATAGACGAATTGGGACAGGTTTTAAAAAACAGTACTGAAGATATCTGAAGAGAAGCTGACCTACGAAGAGAACTGGTTGCCAACCTCAGAAGAAGACAATGTACATTCATTGGTCATGTCAGTTCGGAGGAGCAGATGGATTACCACAGTATGGTAAGATTGATGCAGCGGGGAGTGACGAGAGGTTCTGGCAGATGCTCGAGGCTCAAAGGAAAGGCAAGACGGATGTTTAATCAGAATGCTACTGGCACCATTAGTATCAGAACTCTTCGTTGGCTGCTGAAGTAGAGGACAGAGTGCTTATGGGAATGCCTTGAGTGCTGTGATGTCAGTTCTTGAATCAAATCAATCAATCATGGTCATGTCATCAGGAAGAAATCTGGAGTACAGGTTACGGTGGAACAGTTAAAGGGGAGGGAGACAGAGAGAGGTAGGTAGGTAGTAGGTAGCTGCTTTGTTGGGAAACAAATAATTGTCGCGTTTAACCCGGATTCTCCAAGGGGAGCTCTAGGTTATAATGGTGACTAGGTTATGTGTGCCATATAAAATGGCTTGGCATTGTACACCACTAGGAGCCCTGAAAAGGACGCCTGCAGGGTTGATGCGATTATAGGAGACAGACCTAAATACTGTCCCGACCGGTGGCGAAGTCGTTTACTGGCGAGCCAAAGGGGGAGGGACCCAGTTACCGACGACAGAGAGAAAAAATGCTAGACTTTTGACATCATGGCATGGAAGATTATCTGTGTCAGAATTGGTTGAAAGTACTCAAGACAGAAGGTTGTGAATAGACATAACTACCAACACCACACGGCATGGACCATAAGAAGAAGTGGTTTCCACTGTCATGGTATAGAGAAAATCTTAATGTAAACTAAACTGTGACAGTTTGATATTGTTGATTAGGAAAAGTCAGTCACAGTTATGATGGTTTGGACATGTATGCAGAATGGAAGAAAATCGGCCACTATGGTAGGTAGGTAGGTAAATTGTACTCCATCAGGACATCACACAAGCGATAAACACTCAGTGACACAAAGTGCCATCATGCGGATGAGGATCACTCGTGGAGAGGTCCCAGAAACCCTTTTCAGCCATTAGGCGATATTGAAGGCCTGGCTATATTTAGGGCCCCCGGTAAAAGCCAGCGTGGGGCTTCAAAATAACTAAAAATTGCATCCCACGTGGGGATGACGGTAGTTAGGTAAGTTGCACCCCACCAGGACATTGCACAACCGACAAACACCTGATGACACAAAGTGCCACCATGCGGATGAGGACCACCTGCCGAGAAGTCCCGTAAACCCATTTCAACCACTAGGCCACATCTAGGGCCCGGCTATATTTAGGGCCCCGGTAAAAGCTAGGGTGGGGCTTCAAAATAACTACAAATTGCATCCCACATGGGGACGACAACAGGCACATGAAGTCAAGAACCAGGCCCTAGGGTGACCCAGGGTCCGCTGGGAAGACATCTGACAGTTGCTGCCTGACATAGGAATTGAAATGGAACAAAGCCAGAAAGAAAAAGACTGATGGAGAAGTCTGGTGATCTCTCTGGCAAACCTCTACACCCCAGATAGAAGAGGAGCAACTAAGTACAGTCACTAAGTAATTAGGGTAAATAGGAAGTGCTGGCTACACTGTAAAAACGATTGAGCATGCTTATATATTTTTTTTTTTTGGGTAGTTATTTTGAAAATCTGGAGAGGATATGCTCCCTGAAGTACCTTCCAACACCAACGGATGTGTTGAGAGCTAGAGTACGAACAGTTGGAGTCATTGAGACCTGGTTCAAAGTTCACAACGTAATGATCAGGTGAGTGAGATTTGCTGATGTGGGTCATCATCATCTTCTTTTCCTTCTTTCTGCCAGTGGTTTTCAGATAAGAAGGCCACAGGCCTTTATGAAGTCTGTGCTGTGACGCATGTCCTTGACTGTTACATACAGCTTTGGTTGCCATTGGAATGCCAGCAGGCCAAACCTTGGATCTCTCTACTGCATGTAAACAGCAAGTCTGTAGCACATGTTCAGTATTCTGTGCTGCCTGCCTACACAGGCAAAGTTCTGAATCCCTAGTTTTGAATTTCTTGTACGTGTGGCTGCAGAGTCTCTTGTATTGTCCAGTATGCTTTCTAAATATAATAGTCTGTTTCTTTCCTGTGCATATTATAGTATTATCATCATCATAATGAGAAGAGACACATTGGAGAACATCGTGACAACTGGAAAGATCAGTAGAAAGAGGGGTAGAGGCAGACCAAGAGCGATGATGCTGGATGGGCTGAAACAATGGCATGTAGGGATATCATCAAGAGAGCTGTTCTAGGCAACCTGGGATCATGATCTGTGGAGATGTATGAGCACCTACGCCAGTTGGCAGGGCACATGATGATGATGATCATCATCATCGTGTTATACCTTTATATGTTACATAAGACTTGCAGTCTATTCCTCCATTTCATTCTACCCTGTGCCATCCTTTCGATATGCTAAGAACCGACATGATAGCACTTGGGGGGGGGGGGGGTAGAAATTATCATAAGTGCTCTGTCCGCATCTTCAGCAGCCAGTGAAGAGTTCCAGTCCTGATGTGTTAAGAATGGACATCACAGCACTCGGGACATTCCCATAAGTGCTAAAGAACTTGTTAGATAGCCTGTAAACACAGATTATGGACAGAAGTTCTTGTTTATATTTTATATAAGCAGAAAAGTAAACAGAGCCGTGGTGACAGGGGGACATAGAGCTAGTTGCATGTCTGCCGGCATAAAGAGCATGGGGTGGAATCTGCCAATGACTTTCGAGTACTTAATTTATAACTGACCCCTGACGTCACGACAACGTCACGGGAGACATTCCCAATAAATTCTAGGGTGTTCAGGTTGTAGTTTCTCGCGATTCATCTACAGCCAAGTTTAGGGTTAGGGTTAGGGTTGGGGTTAGGGTTAGCATTAGAAGACACTAGATGAACACTTAAAAAAAGCACCACACAACAGCACACTTCCACCCCTTCAAATAATGGACTGTCAGGTCAGCTGTGGATTTCCCACGGGGATTTCGTGTTCGGGGTACGTTATAAATTAAGAACCGACTTTCGTTGCCAGGTCATCCAGCCTTAATTGGATACCATTTATTTTAATGGGAAGTAAAGGTGGCCAACTTGATATTGACCTCTTTACCCCGTTGAGGTCCACTTGATTTACAAAAATGAGTCTTGCGTCAAATGCCGGATATGCCACTGGTCTTTTAATTAATAAAAATAAAAAAAACCATTATATTGCCCACAGAAGCCACAAAACTGCCATTTCTGGTCAGGGCTGATTTCCCAGTAAATGTCACTATTCTTACTTATCCATAGTGGCCTGTTTAGGAGATGAATAGTTAAGCTTATTGGCTATCTTCATGCCTGCACAAATATTCATGAGTTTAGGGTGTGAATATATTAACTAAAAATTGCATTGGGGGGGGGGGGGGGTATTTGTTGAAAGCCAAGTTGACGTCAAATGTTCCCATAAGCCTCAGCAGTTAAGGTCATAATGTCTTGACAGGAGTCACTCAATACATATATATTTTTGGACATTTTTGTATCTTTATAGACAGTGATATGGGCGCTGCGTGTTCTCGAGGCATGGCGCCTGTCTTTAGTGCCAGAGGTTCCGTGTTCAGTCCCCGGTAAGGGCTGGGATTTTTCCATGTGGACTTGGACTTCTAGTAATTCCCCCTGGTCTCTGGGTAGTCAGATCGGACGCCTGTGTGTATTGTTATGCACGTAAAAAAATCCCTTGGCAGTCAGAAATCGAAAAGAGTAGCCTAATGGCGCTGCCCAGGCAAAATTTGGAGTTAAGAATCTACCCAAAGTATTTCAGGATCCTCGCCCGTGCTACAGAGCCTGTGCACTATGCTGAGTTTCTTCGGACTCAAGACTTGAGTAAGAAGAATAACGGAGCACTTATGGGTTACTACCCATGTGCCATGATGTTGATCCGTTGTTTAAAACCTCAAAACAAAACCTATGAATTGTGAGGAAAAATTATTTGGAAGCTGTGGAGATGTGGTTTTGTAGAAGATTGGTGAGAATACACTGGACAGATAAAAAGAGCAATGAAGATGTCATGAAAGAAACCGACTAAAAAAAGAAACATTCTTTGATCATGTGATGAGAAGGAGAAAACTGGAGTACATTGTGACAGTAGGAAAACTGGAGGGGAAAGAGAGGCAGAGGGAGACTGAGGGAAAAGATGCTGGCCAGTTTGACATCGTGGCATGGATGATCATCTGTGTCAGAGTTGATTAAAAGTACACGAGACAGGAGGATGTGGATGGACATGACTACCAATGCAACACAGCATGGACTATAAGAAGAATATATTTTTATAAATTCAGAGAATAATTTCCAGCATAAACAAACTCAACAGGAAAGAACAAACATCAATTCTTAGACTTCAGACAGGACACTGTGGTCTTCGAGCACACCTGCACAGGATAGGCTTAAAAGAATCTGCTGCCTGTGATTGTGGAGCAGAAAGACAGACCCCTGAGCACATACTGCAGGACTGCCCTAACCTCTCCCAGCAAAGACTGGATCTGGCCCAAGAGCCACATTGCAAGGAAAATCAATGGGCGACCTTAAACGCACAATCCTATTTGTGAACTGGGTTTCAGTGTTTAGCATAACTTATGTCAAACGCAGATGAAGAGGAAGAAGTAGAGAATAATATGTACGTAAATATTTATCGATTGTAAAATATTTATTATTCTTTCTTATCCTTTTGTCCTACTGCTTATGCTGCGAAGCATCGAAGAGATGAGTTAGAGGTAGTTTCCTGTCTTTTGCTGGTTGCGTAGCTTGTGTTAATGTCATATTATGTCTTTGTAGTGACTCTTACTGCATCCACCCATCTGTTTCTTTGTCAGCCTTTTGCCTTGTTCTCATGTAGTACGCTCTAGCTACTGGCTGTTTTTGTTGCATTCTGACCAGATAACCAAACCATTTGATTCTTTGGTGATCTATGGTATCATTTACTGGTACTGTACCCACCATTATTTTTAGTTCTTTATTGGTGACTGTCTCTTCTAAGTTTTCCTGCAGCATTTCTTTACATTTCTTCTCATTATGTTGTAATTTTACATTTACATTTGTCTGGGACTGTCCATGTTTGACATTGATAGCACAAAGTTGGTAAGAATAGCACATTTACCACTGCTCCTTTGTATGTATGTTGATATTTTAATGGCTCAGAAATGGGGTTATTTGGTAATTTAATTTATGTTGTTGGCCTTCTGTGTTCTGTTTTATATTTCTCTGTCCAATCCTCCATCCTCAGTAAATATTATTGCTCTTTTTTTTGTTTTCAACTCTTTGAGTCCCAGGAGGTTTAGCATCACAAGCTCAAGGGGTAGTCAAGAGAGATGTAAAATGGGCACATCTTGCGTTTATTGGGTTTCTAGGTAGGAATCTATGAATACATGATGCGTTACTTGGGACTCAGAGAGTTAAAGGTTGTTTTTGAGAATTCCACTGTGGTCATGACCCGTGTTGTTAGTGTTGCTGCGGCGAAGGGGTTGAAGAAAACCTTTGACACCAGTGCCCTGCAGGCATGTGGTGCTAGACCTGTGATATATTTAGTTAATTGGTGCTTTATTAATATCCTACCCCAGATGATGTCACAGGACAGTCCAATATTTTAGAGGGTGGTAAGACAGGGTTCCCCCGCTTTCTGATGCTTTTAACGATACCAAAGCATCTAGAACTGGCCCTAACCCCAGCCCACCTACATCCCACAAGAAAGTGCAGCCTGGGTCTTACAAATGCATGCAGCCTAGGTCCCACGACTGCATGCAGCCTAGCTACCTCCCCCTAAAATATTAGACTCTCACGTGACCTGTAGATTTTCCCTCTTTGGGGCAGGATATAAATACAGCACCAATTTATTTATGTAGTAATCTCTTTATTTATATTTGACAGAAAGTATTTACATACTTGTTTATATTTCTTTATTCCACAGAATGTACGATGTTGGAGGTCAGAGGTCGGAGAGGCGAAAGTGGATCCATTGTTTTGACAATGTGAAATGCGTTCTTTTTGTAGTTGCCATCAGTGCATATGACATGTGCCTTATTGAGGACCCTAGTATGGTATGTTGTCTTGCGTAGAGTTCAAACACCCTCCCACTATCTGAGTTTTGTTGTGTAGAGTTGAAACACACCTCCACTGTCTGGGTTTTGTTGCGTAGAGTTAAAACACACCTCCACTGTCTGGGTTTTGTTGTGTAGAGTTGAAATACACCTCCACTGTCTGGGTTTTGTTGTGTAGAGTTGAAATACACCTCCACTGTCTGGGTTTTGTTGTGTAGAGTTGAAATACACCCCCACTGTCTGGGTTTTGTTGTGTAGAGTTGAAATACACCCCCACTGTCTGGGTTTTGTTGTGTAGAGTTAAAACACACCTCCACTGTCTGGGTTTTGTTGTGTAGAGTTGAAATACACCTCCACTGTCTGGGTTTTGTTGTGTAGAGTTGAAATACACCTCCACTGTCTGGGTTTTGTTGTGTAGAGTTGAAATACACCCCCACTGTCTGGGTTTTGTTGTGTAGAGTTGAAATACACCCCCACTGTCTGGGTTTTGTTGTGTAGAGTTGAAATACACCTCCACTGTCTGGGTTTTGTTGTTTAGAGTTGAAATACACCTCCACTGTCTGGGTTTTGTTGTTTAGAGTTGAAATACACCTCCACCGGGCAGTGCTGGATTGAGGCATAAGCTAACTAAGCTGCAGCTTAGGGTCTCAGAGTCTGCAGGGGCCTCAACAAATGTCAGTTTGTTAGTTCACAAATACAGTTTACTTTTAAGAGGATTATATAAAATATTTTGTGTGATTTTGTCGACACTTTCTTGATTTCCCTTCCTAAAAATCAAACAGCCAAATATTTCCATCATAAAAGGCATTTTAAAAGGCATATATATTTTAAAGTTTTTTGAGATTGGCTGGTGTAATTTAAAACAGCAGGGGCCTCTGGAATCTGTCTAGCGTAGGGCCTCATCCAGTCTAAATCTGCCCCTGGTTCTGGGAAACCCTTTGAGTTGAGTTAAGTCAAGAATTGACATCACAGCACTAGGGCATTCCCATGCATGCTCCGTCCTCATCTTCAGAGTTCCAATACTGATGGTACCGGTCACAATCTGGTTAAATGTCCGTCTTGCCTTTCCTCTAAGTGTAGTAAGCTGGCCAAACCCTCTGATTACACCCAGGTGCCTCATTTTCTCCAGGCCATAATAATCTTGTTTCTCTACTGATTCAGTTGCTTGTTCCCAAAGGGGCTTGACCACATCTGCCTTGTCATGTGTCAATTTACCACCCAGTGGTGCAGATCCAGCCAATCTGTCTGCCTGTTCATTACACACCACGTCGGCATGGCCTGGAGAAAAGATCCAAAGAATGCTCACTACCTTTGTACCTTGGGAAACCTTTGTAAGGGGAAAAAAACAAAACAATAAACCCACTGCTGCCCTAACAATTATTTAGTGAAAGTCATCTAATTAAGGGTGTTTCCTTTGAAGGCATGTATCTGCCTGAGAGGTAAGAAACTAAGAGTTGCATTCATATAAACCAGATCTGTAAAACAGATTTGCATGCAAAACTCAAGTTTTGAAACAAGAATAAAGTCCAAAAATAAAGAGACAATCATAACTTTCCACCATGGTTTACAGCCGGTTAAAGTTAAGCAGAAGAAGAAGTTGAAGGTTTGAACAACAGATCAGTATCATTGCTCACAGGTAGTAACCCATAAGTGCTCAATCGTTCTTCTAACTCAAGTCTGAGTCCAAGGAAGCACAGCACAGTGCGCGGGCTCTGTAGCACTGGCGAGAATTCTGAAATACTTTGGGTAGATTTTAACTCCAAATTTGCCCAGGCTACTCTTTTTGATTTCCAACTGTCAAGTGATTTTTAACGTGCGCAACAATGCACACTGGCGTCCTATCTCACTACCCAGAGACCAGGGGGAATTACTAGAAGTCCAAGTCCAAGTGAAAAAAATCCTAACCCTTACCGGTGATTGAACCCAAAACATCTAGCACTCGAAAAAAAAAGGTAAAGTTGGGAGATGTGAACCAGCATCATTGCACACGGTTATAAACCATAAGTCCTCTGTCACCAGTACGGACAGCTGATAAGAAACTATCCGCCTGTGTCGTTGCTGTCCACACGTAACTCTGTAGCTACACCGACATTCCTCCATTCACCCCAGAGTGTCAACTCTGGTACCCATTTCCGAGAGGCTGGGTGAACCCTGGGAACTGCCCAGTTTTGAACACCGACCATGGCTGTAGCGAGTCGCAGCTGAATTTGAAAGTGAGCCTCCTATTGACTGCGCAAACGCAGCCCCTCTAGCACTCAAGGCAGACACCATGCCCTGAGACCTCGCAGCCCCCTGAAGAAGAAGAAGAAACACACCCGTGCTGACATATGAGATGAAGGACTTAAAATGGAAGTTACAGTCAGGAGGATTAACTTTATTGCAGTGGGTTTTATCAACCTATGTCTGCAAAACAGCTAGCTGTCTTGTGAGAGCGTCACACAAAGCACGAACACTGTAGCTCCAGCCAGTGATGACCTGCAGGAATCTCGATGAAAATTATACAAGTGAATCGAATAGTTAATTGAATAGTGCTGCCTGTGAAATGAACTTGCGACTTACAGAGCGATGTGTAAATGGCTTGACAACTTTGGGTGGCATAGGAGTTAGCACCTTTGGATACCAAAACATGGGTTCAGTACCTGGCAGTGGCCTTCAACCAGTATCCCCGAAGCTGGAAGCTTTAGGTTATAATTGTGACTAAGCTATGTATGCCATATGAAATAGCTTAACATCGCTCACCACCAAGTAGCTGTGAAGAGAACTGTTGCAGTGTTGATTTGATAAAAAAGGATAGACCCAAATACTGTCCTGACAGTGGGCGACCTGGTCGCTGATGTGCAGCTGTGAAGTTCTCATTCTCTTTAAATAGGTTGTTTAGACTTTTCTGCGATTTATTTTGAGAAGTAAAGGCATTGAGAGAAACTATAGAGCCATATAAACAGCATTAAAGGTCTCTGGGGAAACCAGTGTGCTGGGGCCCCTACAACTAGTGCTCACAGGAATGAGATTTTTTTTTCTTTTTTGCTCACCAGCTGTAGGCTTGAGCAGAAAGTCCTGGTTGTTCATTCATTGGCTTTGTGCCAGAGTCTGAGTTTTGTGTGTACATCCATTTTACTGTCTTACTTGTGTACGGTTGGGTGTTTTCTAGCCACTCGGGCAGATGCATTCTGACTTCGGAAAAAGATCCCAATTAGTCCATTTATGACATGCTTTTGGGGAGGCAGTGAGTCTACCCCCCACCCCCCGACAATGGGGTCCCAGAAGCCACACAGGGACACATTTTTTTAAAGACATTTAACATACACAGATTAGTATGGGGTCGCTTTGCTTATGGAGCTCCCGGGCAAGTGCCCAGTTGACCCATTGTTAAGACAGCACTGAGGAAGTAGCTTGTTTAATACTGTCATTTACTGTATTTCAGCTGCTTAGATTCTATCTCCTTGTGTTAACTTGGTTTTACATTTGTGATTCTTCTTCTTCTTCTGTGTTCATCCTAAGATGTTGTTGTGATTGTTCCATCTCTTTGGGTACCCTCTGGCATTCACACGGTTGCCAATAACAAACATGTTTATTATCCCGTTGATGATGGTGGTAATTGATGTTTTTTTTTTGTTTAAAAAAGGTTTTGTGATGATGTTTGATTTTGCAGAATCGTCTGGAAGAAAGCTTGAAACTCTTCAGTCAGATATGCAATAATAGATTTTTTGTGAGCAGTACCATGGTGAGTGGATGTTTCACTTTTCCGTTACTAATACTTTGCTAAATTATCTGTATCACCATCATCATGTAGCAGGTCCTTTGCAGAACATTGCTGTCATCACGGTCTGAGTGAAAGATACTCAGTCTCTCGCCAGCTCTCTTGCCTCATGTACTTTCATACTCAAGGAGTCACTTATATCCTGTGCCCATCTTCATGTTGGTCAGCCCCTGCCCTCCTTCCTGGTACCATGCCTTCTGCTAAACTATCTGTGTACATATCAGGAATGTCGTGTTGGTGCAGCCATGTTGGTTTTTCTGTTAGCAGACATGATAGTCATCCAGCAGACCAGTTAGCTTGTTTCAGGACCTGTGTACACAAAACATGATAGTCATCCAGCATACCAGTTAGCCTGTTTCAGGACCTGTGTACACAAAACATGATAGTCATCCAGCATACCAGTTAGCCTGTTTCAGGACCTGTGTACACAAAACATGATAGTCATCCAGTATACCAGTTAGCCTGTTTCAAGACCTGTGTACACAAAACATGATAGTCATCCAGCATACCAGTTAGCCTGTTTCAAGACCTGTGTACACAAAACATGATAGTCATCCAGTATACCAGTTAGCCTGTTTCAAGACCTGTGCACACAAAACATGATAGTCATCCAGCATTCCAGTTAGCCTGTTTCAAGACCTGTGTACACAAAACATGATAGTCATCCAGCAGACCAGTCAGCCTGTTTCAGGACCTGTGCACACAAAACATGATAGTCATCCAGCATTCCAGTTAGCCTGTTTCAAGACCTGTGTACACAAAACATGATAGTCATCCAGCAGACCAGTCAGCCTGTTTCAGGACCTGTGCACACAAAACATGATAGTCATCCAGCATTCCAGTTAGCCTGTTTCAAGACCTGTGTACACAAAACATGATAGTCATCCAGCAGACCAGTCAGCCTGTTTCAGGACCTGTGTACACAAAACTATTCTAGTATTACAGTGACTCCTCCCTGTGAGGGTCCTGGGGTCCATTTTGGGAAGTGGATAGATCCATTGCCTCTTAAAGTGCATGTTAAGAGACTGAGAGAGGTGTCTGATTAAGGATTTGCTGAAATTGGATGTGCTGGGCTGAAACAACAACACAAACATAAGAAAGCCACCAAAACCAGACGATTACCATTTTATGGACAGACTAGAGCAAGTTATTATTCTACGCCTTAGAACAGGACACAAGGGACTTCGCAGCCACACGTACACACAATTTAAAATCGGCGAATAAGCCATGTGCACATGTGGGTTGGCACCTAAAACAACAGATCATGTCCCCCAAGACTGTCTCCAATACAACATATTAAGGCAACATTTTTGGCCAAGAGAAACATCGATGCAGGTCTAACTTTACGGCTCGCTGAGTGAATTACAAAAGACAGTGAAGTTCATACCAGAGACAACATTGCAGATATATATAATCTATTTCAAGCGAACAAAAGAAGAAGAAACAACACACCCTGTCACCTGCCCTTTTGTATAGCAGCTGGATGCTGGCTTGTGGATCCCAGTGTTGTGAGTCAGTATCCGCGCGGAGCCAGACTTTGGTTTCGAGAACGACACCAGCCTTAAATGGGTACCTGGTACAGTTCTGGAAAGTTGAGGCAGCCGGCGTGATGTTAATGGAAATACACCTCCACCGTCCAGGTTTTATTGTGAAGAATTGAAATACACCGCCACCGTCCAGGTTTTATTGTGAAGAATTGAAATAAACCTCCACCGTCCAGGTTTTATTGTGAAGAATTGAAATACATCTCCACCGTTCAGGTTTTATTGTGAAGAATTGAAATACACCTCCACCGTCCAGGTTTTATTGTGTAGAATTGAAATACACCTCCACCGTCCAGGTTTTATTGTGAAGAATTGAAATACACCGCCACCGTCCAGGTTTTATTGTGAAGAATTGAAATAAACCTCCACCGTCCAGGTTTTATTGTGAAGAATTGAAATACATCTCCACCGTTCAGGTTTTATTGTGAAGAATTGAAATACACCTCCACCGTCCAGGTTTTATTGTGAAGAATTGAAATAAACCTCAAGGTCCAGGTTTTATTGTGAAGAATTGAAATACACTTCCACCGTCCAGGTTTTATTGTGAAGAATTGAAATACATCTCCACCGTCCAGGTTTTATTGTGAAGAATTGAAATACACCTCCACCGTCCAGGTTTTATTGTGAAGAATTGAAATACACCTCCACCGTCCAGGTTTTTTGTGTAGAATTGAAATACACCTCCACCGTCCAGGTTTTATTGTGAAGAATTGAAATACACCTCCACCGTCCAGGTTTTATTGTGTAGAATTGAAATACACCTCCACCGTCCAGGTTTTATTGTGTAGAATTGAAATACACCTCCACCCTCCAGGTTTTATTGTGTAGAATTGAAATACACCTCCACCGTCCAGGTTTTATTGTGTAGAATTGAAATACACCTCCACCGTCCAGGTTTTATTGTGTAGAATTAAAATACACCTCCACCGTCCAGGTTTTATTGTGTAGAATTGAAATACACCTCCACCGTCCAGGTTTTATTGTGTAGAATTGAAATACACATCTTTTACCAATAGACCTGACTGGTATAGAGCCTCTTATGGCCACAGTCATCCTAGAGATAGGATCAATGTCTTTCCTCGAAGTTGGAGTAAAACTACCCGAGAGGCAGGGAACAAGAACTGCACAAAATAAGCCAGGAAAACAGTCGTATAGCAAAACTCAGGTCCTAGTACAAAGCCAAAATTCCAAATGGACAAACAGGACTTGCTGCCAGAATTCACAGCCAGTGAATACAAAGAAGATGAAGAAAAAGAAGAAGAAGAAGAAGAACCTCTTGTCTGTAACATATTAATAATGCCTGTCAGTCAGAGGAATAATTATATAAATGTAGCATAGTTGCCAGGGCTTCCCAAGCTGGACAAGTCAAAGGGTAAATAGCAGACAAAAGGAAACACCCTGGTCCTCTTGACTGGTAGCCGAAGCATGGGGTAGGTGCCTCTTCCCCCTCCTTTGTAAAACCTTGTGTCCTCATGAAACTGTATTTCATTCTTTCTCTTGTGATCGCACTCTGAGTTAAATCAACAGGCGAGTTCTTGTGATAAAATCGGCTGTTTTTAATGAGTTCCTTTTTAGTTCCATACAACTTGTTATCATTGGGCCAGTATTCCCCTTTCTGATGTGAGCTGTACAAGGGACAGACTTGTAGGACATGTCTGCAGTTTGCATGCGCAAATGGGCATAATTGTAAACTACTTAGATGAAGCCTGTGCATACGCTTGTTAAGTTTGTTATGCCCTATCATGATGCATAGAATAATGACCTGTACATGCTGGTCAAGTAAGTGGTAGTTATCTCTGACCACATTCTGTTTACTCCTGACAGACTGACTAGATTGCCATTTTTGTCTTCAAAGTATGTTATTGCATTGTCTTCCTACCTTTAGCAAGTTTATCCCAGTTTCATTTCCTGGTATACCACAGTGGAATGACACTCCCTGAAGTACAGTAGGCTTTTGGGCAGCCACACAGCAAAAGTGTATCTGTGAAGGTGACCAAATGGTGGCACTCAGAACTTTCTTCTTCTTCTTTGCGTTCACCAGCTGTAAACTCTGGCAGAAAGTTCTGGTTGTTCCTCCACTTTTGGACTGTAATCCCGTTCCAGAACCTGAGTGTTGCGTGTGCATCCGTTTTACAGCTCTGACTCATATGTATCCAGACTGTTGGTTCCTTGCTTCTCAGGCAGATGCACTCCGACTTCGAAGGAAACTCCCAACTAGTCGACTTTTACAACATGCTTTTGGGTAGGCAGTGGGTCTGTTCATGTTTTCCCCACAATAGGGCCTCAGAACCCACATGGGGGATACACAACGGAAAATAGTATCTAAGCTTTGAAATGTAAATAGAGAACATCCCAGAGAAGGCGAGTGATAGAGATGACTGGATGTGGGTGGTAGCTGCAGCAGTGAACCTCAGGGGTTCAGAATGCTTAAACCTCAGGGGTTCAGAATGCTTAAACCTCAGGGGTTCAGAATGCTTAAACCTCAGTGGTTCAGAATGCTTAAACCTCAGGGGTTCAGAATGCTTAAACCTCAGTGGTTCAGAATGCTTAAACCTCAGGGGTTCAGAATGCTTAAACCTCAGTGGTTCAGAATGCTTAAACCTCAGTGGTTCAGAATGCTTAAACCTCAGTGGTTCAGAATGCTTAAACCTCAGTGGTTCAGAATGCTTAAACCTCAGGGGTTCAGAATGCTTAAACCTCAGGGGTTCAGAATGCTTAAACCTCAGTGGTTCAGAATGCTTAAACCTCAGGGGTTCAGAATGCTTAAACCTCAGTGGTTCAGAATGCTTAAACCTCAGGGGTTCAGAATGCTTAAACCTCAGGGGTTCAGAATGCTTAAACCTCAGTGGTTCAGAATGCTTAAACCTCAGGGGTTCAGAATGCTGAAAAAAGAAGAAGCAAATTTTTATTGTTGAGGTTAGTATGACCACACTAAATATTTTTCCCGTTTCTTTACCACTTTCAGATCCTATTTTTAAACAAATTGGACCTTTTTCAAGACAAAGTGAAGTATTCAAAACGGCACCTGCGATATTTCTTCCCCGATTTTCCAGGTGGGTGCAGTATAACTAGGCAGTGATACAGTTTCATGTGGATATGCATAGATGGTGAGACTAAGCAGCCATATACAGCACAAAAGTGTTCCTTACCCCGGTTTCAGAGTATCATTGGGGAGGGAAGAGGGGAGGACAGAACCACATCTGCCTGGGAGTTGAGAAACTAACGGTCTGCATACAAATAATCCAGATATGTAAAATAGATGTGTATGCAAAACTCAAGTTCTGGAGTGAAACCAAAGTCCACAAGTGGATGAACAGCCATAACTTTTTGCTGGAGTTTCCTGCGGTGAACACTATGAAGAAGAAGTTACTGGACACAAACTGCCACTGTGAAACTCACAAAAAGGAGGAAGGAAGTGTAGATGCAGAATGACTTTACTAAGTGATTAAGTCCAAATTAACCAGAAGAACCTCAAGAATGCATTAGGAGACCGCTTAGAGAAAATGTGGTTGTATCTTCTTCTTCATTAGCTGTAAACTCTGGCTTTATGCTGGTTAGAGAACACGGCACGCACACACCTCGTGATTTTAACTGACCCAGGAAGCATGCTGAGGAAGATCAGGACTGGCATGCTTCGTACAGAGTGGCATGCTTCACTGCGGAGGACACGGGTGAGGAGTGTTGTCTAGATTTTTTTTCATCAGGATGCACCAGTGAGTTGGGAAATAAACAGGTGGACAGATAGGCTGGCTCTGCACAGCTTGGTGGAATACTGATGAATGATAAGGCAGAACGTGGTTGGTGCCTTGTGGGAGAGTGTACAGTTGAGAGGAGCAGATGGATCAAACAGTGTGGTGAGATTGATGCAGCGGGGAGTGACAAGGGGATCTGGCAGATGCTCGAGGCTCAGAGGAAAGGCAAGACAGACGTTTAATAAGAATGCTGCAGGCACCATTAGTATCAGAACTCTTCACTGGCTGCTAAAGATGTGGATGGAGCGCTTATGGGAATGCACCGAATGCTAAAATGTTGGTTCTTGACTTAACTCAACTTCAGCGGAAAGTTCTGGTTCGTCCACTTCTGATCTAGTCTTGTTCCAGAACTTGAGTTTTGTGTGCACGTCTGTTTTACAGATGTGCTTACTTTGATGCAGACTGTTTATCATGTCGCTTAGGCAGATACACTCCGACTTCGAAAGTAAAATCCCTAATTACTTGTGCTTGTTAGGGAGGGAGTCGGTATATTCCAAAATGGTGCTCTTGGACCCACACAGGAATGGCGGTATCTTATTTCCGGTACATTAACATCGTGTTTTGCACTATTGCTCTTTATCCTCGTTGTCTTCCTCCTCTTCCTCCTCCTTATTCTTCTTTTTCTTTCCTTCTTCTTCTTCTTCTTCTTCTTCTTCTTCTTCTTCTTCTTCTTCTTCTTCTTCTTCTTCTTCTTCTTCTTCTTCTTCTTCTTCTTCTTCTTCTTCATCTCCTCCTCCTTCTTCTCCTCCTTCTCCTTCTCATTGTCCTTCTCTTTCTTCTTTTTCTTCGAGGCTGTTCTTGATGCTATCATTCCATGATTTTATGTGGTCCTCCTCTTGCTTTGTGTTAATTATATATCTTCAGTCTGGCACTATGGGGCATGTTATACCAGGGCATGCTTAACAGATGACCAAACCATCTCTTCTCTTGTTCATTAGTGTATTGTGTGGCTTGTTGGAGCCCTAGTTCCCTTCTTTAAATTTTGTTAAAAACATTTATGATTTCTTGTTCTCTTGTTACTCCAGTAGGGCTTTAAAAGCATCTCACCTTTTTTTTTCTTCTTCACGTTTACCAGAGAGTTGTGGTTGTTCATTCGCCTCTTGACTTTAGACTTGTTCCAGAACCTCACCGTTACATGCACATCTGTTTTACAGATCTGACTTATTGTATGCACTGTTGGTTCCTTGCCTTTCAGGCAAATGCACTCTGACTTTTAATGTATAATCCCCCCTCCCCCCATTAGTTGACTCTTACGATATGCTTGTTGTGGAGGCAGAGGGTCTGTTTTGTTGTCCACACAATGGGGATTTATTGTTATGATTCTGCACCCATTAGTTGTAGTCATCAACCACTACTACACAAGAAAGAATGAATTATAGGAGACACCAAACATGGACAATAAATAATTAGGGCACTAGAACAGAAAATAACTACCTTTGAAATGTGCTGTCTCTGCAAGGTCACTAACAACGCCATAAGGGACAGGTTTACAAATACCAACATTAGAGAACAAGTTTAAATAAGACTGTCTGAATTATATTGACAGACAAAGAATTAAATGGTTCGGTCATCTAGTGAGAATCACCCACGCCCCAAGAGACGTGGCAAATACAGAAAACCAGAACACAATACTACAACCTGGCATCGGTGTAGGGCATTGCAGGTCGACCTTGCCTAAAATGAGTATGAGGATGTATGTATTGAGTAAGTTAAGTCAGCCGGCGTAATGCTGACCACATTACCTACCTAGTGCCGATTGTTCTGTAAAAATATGGGTGCTCTTCCTATATGCCCAATGCACCTAAAGATGTGAAAAGGGATCTTAACTTTACTGTGTGTACTTTAATTTGAATATACAATCTCACTTCCGCAGGACCAGATAAAGATGTTGATGCTGCAGCCAAGTATATCCAGCACCTGTTTCTGACGCAGGTGTCCAGCCCATCCAAGATTGTGTACCCTCACTTCACCACCGCCACTGACACCACCAACATCCAGGTCGTCTTTCAGGTTCTCATGGACTCCATTCTCAGACACAACTTGAAAGCAGCGAATCTTTTGTAGCACATCAACTTACTGCTGGCTCCCACTTGAGAGGGGTACTGCTGTAGACAAGGCAGAGGTGATGATCTCTCGACTATGAGGCGATATTGAAAACACATATCTGGAGAGACTGGTGCAGCCGGGACTGTCTGCTGCCTTTGGGCATCACTCAAAGAAAAGACAAGACGAGTAGTTAACCAGTGGGTACCATCACTATGGAAACTCTTCGCTGGCTGTTGAGGGAGATAGATCTAATATTGGTTGTCCTGTATCCCATGTCAGCTCTGTGGCTAAGTCGATGCAAATGCTTCGTGATGCTGGGGTGCCGGGTTCGATCCCAGCTGCGAGCTATGCGCCTTGCGTTGGTTTCGACAGTCGTATCAGGGAGCCGACAGTCAGAAAGTAATGGCAGACTACTGGATGTAATTTGCCTAGAAAAACCACACAACAGCCAGGTGCTGCTGGGGTTGGTTCTGCAACGTCCTGTAAAGGATACGTATCTAACCTGAATCCCATGATGTTGAATCTTTCCCGAGATGAACCCAGATCAGCTGACTGACTGGTTTTCTCCGCTAGGCTGCCAGTTGAATGTTTTACACCACATGTAACGAGAGTCACACTGTGGATGGCAGTCTTACAGGACACATCCTGGATACCCGGTTCAGCATCCTAGGAAGTAATAATGAACTCTTTCACTACCCTGTCTAGACTGATGGACATGAGGATGCAGCCTGGAGCTGCAAGAATCGAAGCAACTAATGGATCTGTCCGGAGTGCTGTGATGATAATCCTTTCTAATCACTAATCATTAATCACTACCAGAAGGTTTAAAATTGGTATAGGTAAAGTGATGAAAACAAAAACACCATGATGAATTAATTAATTCGAACTGGAATGTACACATTGTAAGTGACCATGTGGGGAGGCCATATTTTTTTTTTGAGTATGTCCTGATGAAAAAATTGTTAAAAAAGGTAATCACGCACATTATTCTGTGAAGTGAAATCAAGAAGCAGAGCCATAGACACACACCAGGCATTGCTTCGGATTGAAAGACTTAAGCATCAATAACAGCTATACTAAAGGCTGCCCTAGTTTAACCAGCTAACTGAGGTGGGTAACAAATTTCCACTTGAGAGATGTGCTGTTTTTCAGGGCACCTCTTTTTTCTCTCAAAAGATTTTCACAGATCAGGGCTATTGAACTAAGTTTACTCAGGATCCTAATTGTTGAAAATGGGGGTTATCACAGGCCAGAGTTTAGAGCAACAACATATATAAAACGTTGATAGGACCAGTCGTTTTAAATGGCTCTGAAATTTGGTGCACAACTAAAAAAAGATGAAGCCTTATTACAGGTTTTCGAAAAATATTCTTACGACAAATCTTTGGACTCAGCAAAGATGCAAACAGTGGTGAATGGAGAGTGAGAAGTAACAACACAATTCATAATCTGTTTAAATCACCACTGATCACTGGCATTATGAGAGCTAATAGAATGAAATGGTTGGGGCAGATTGAAAGAATGTCAGATGACAGAGAAGTAAAAACTGTATACACCAGACAAACCTGCAAACACTTAGTGTTACCAACTGGAAAGAGAAGGCCAACCAGAGAGATGAATGGAGGCGGGTGATAGAAAGATCAGTAATACAATACGATGATCCGTGGGCCGCTAGCTAGGCTCCGTGGGCCAGATTCAACCCGTAGGCTGCCAGTTGAATAGCTCTGCCATAGATCAGTGGTAGTATCAAGAACAGCCTCAAGGAAATGAAGATCAAGGCATCAGTACGTTACAAAAAGAACACAGCTCTATGAAATAACCGGAGAAAGAAAATAAAAAGAAGATCAAAATTTGCTATGCATCTGTTCTAGCGTAAGTCACACAACAAGGCTTTTTATGTCTAGAACAAAGATACCCGTACTTACAGCACAGTGACTTAAAAAAAGTGCCGGCACTCACGGGCTGTAAACTCCAGCTGAAAGTTCTGGCTGTTCAACCACATCTAGAGTTCCAGTCTTGTTCCAGAATGTGGGTTTTAAAGATCAAGCTCACTTGTATGCAGAGTGCTGGTCCCTGGCTTCTCAGGCAGATGCATACTGATCTCAAAGGACTGTTTCACTTACTTAGTCGTTCCTCTTCTACCTTTGGGTGTAGAGATTTGCCAGAGAGATCGCCAGACGTCTCTATCAGCAGTTTTCTTTTTGGCTTTGTTCCATTCCAGTCCTCTGTCAGTCAGGGGCTGTCGGATGTTGTCTTTCCAGCGGACCCTTGAAGACCTCTAATTAGTTACCTTTTGTGGGGGGAGGGGGGGGGGTTGTTTGTCAGAGAACCTAAAATGGGGCACCAGAATCAACATAGTGAGAAATTTAATCAACACAAAGCAATAGATAGACCATGCAATATAAATGGGATGACAACTACAAGAACAGCCTTGGAGAAATGACAACTTATAGAGTGTATTAAAGAGAGCAGCTTGCAGCAGATTCTGTCAGATTTCTGAACCCTTCGCTGAATGAATGAAGTTTAACCCCACTAGGAATGCGCAACTAGTGATAAACACCCGGTGACACAAAGTGCCACCATTCGGATGGGAATCATCCCGGCACAAGTCCCATAAACCTTGTTTTTTTAAGGCTTTAAAATAATGGAAAATAGGTCCCATCCTGGGGTAGCTTTAAGTCAATATCTCTACTGTGAGGTAACTGTAGGAAGGAAAGAAGAAGAATGTGTCATTCATTTGATGTGTAGGGAGGGTATCTACATGTTTCGGCATTATACAGTCGAGTCCACTTAAGTCGAACTCGGATAAGTCAAATTTCGGTCAAGTCGACATGACCAGCTTAGTCCCGGCAACTTTCTCTATTGTGTGTGCTGTCTGGATAAGTAGAAGTCCTGATAAGTGGAAGCATTTTCTTAGGTCCCTGTGATTTCTACTTATCCAGACTCAACTGTAATAATATAAAAGCACATATAAACAGCATATTCATACCAAACTGTGCTACCAGTGCCAGACTTGGACATTATCAAAAGCTTACTTATGTATAATTAACACCTGTGATAAATGAGTTGCCTGAGAAGTGCTACCAACTTAACCATCCGAGACAAAGTTAGAAATGATGTTATCAGATAAAATGTTGCAACAACACCATACAGCAGATTCATAGAAAAATAAATCAGGTGGTTTGGTCATCTAGTAAGGATGCAGTCAGAACTACTGACGCAAGTGCTACATACGAAAAGATCTGATGTGAAAGCAAGAGGTTCCGCTCTAGGAGAACATGGATTGATGACATTAAAGAGCTTCTACATTGACACGGAATGATAATAGCCATTGCTGCCCAACAAGCGATGGATCACAAACTGTTCCTGCCCACGGCATCTAATGGCAGAAGTAGAAAATGATGATGTTGTTGAATATAAAGTGTGCCATCTCTGCTACAGTGGAAGTTGGTCTCATTGAATATGTATTTCCACTGCTGTCTTTGGTAATATTATCTGATAAAGCTCCAATATCTTCACTAGTGTCCTGGGTAGTTAGCATTCTCTGGATGTTTTTCTCCGGGGTATAAAGGTGTGTTGGAAAATTAACCGCACACAGATTGGCTGGAGCTGCACCAGTGGATGGTGAATTTTTTGCATATCAGGTTAGATGTGGTCCAGGCCGTTTGGCAGAAGTGAACAATGCGGACGCACAAATAGATCATTATGGTCTAAGAAAGGTGGAGACAGGCATGCTCTGTGCAGAGTGGCAAGCATCGCTTCAGAGGTCCTGGGTAGTTAACATCCTTTGGATATTTTCTCCAGGTGTGTTGGGAAATGAGCAGGCAGATAGATTTGCCGGTTTTGCACCTCTTGGTGGTGAACTGATGTATGACAAGCTAGATGTTGTGAGTGCCCTTTGGGAGCGAGTGAGCAGTGCGGAGGTACAAATAGATCATTACTGTCAGAGGAGAATGACGCTGCGGGGAGTTACCAGGAGATATGGCCGACTCTGAGCATTCAAGGGAAAGGCGAGATGGATGTGCCATTAATTACTGGTACTATCGGAATGGGAACTCTTCAATGGCTGCTGAAGATAAGGCTGGAGTGCTGCTCATGGAAACATCCTGATTGCTGCGATGTCAGTTGTTAACCCAACATTCAACCCTCTTTTCCACAGTATGGTTGGTATACCACTGTCCAAATATATCACTGTCCGAATGTCACAACAGCTACCTGCTCTAAAAATAAAACCTGACTTCATCATGGATTGTGAAACACATTGACTAACCTTTAAAACCACATAGCCGCAGATTTCAGCTTTATCATCACCATCATCATCACCAATTTCAATTTTTACCATTATGTATCGTGGGAAGGAACAGTTTGTGATCCATTGCTTTATAGTTAGCACTGAATTTCAGCATTATTTATGAAAAAATATCTAAGCATCTCAGGAAATGATGGTCATCATTCATTGGCACCTTTCCGTCTTTCCATACGATAGTGTAAATGATGGTCAAACATTAAATATATATATACATATTATGTCTACACGCCTTCATCTAGAATAGTCAGTTTCATCAAGCAGTTGTCACATTTATTTTGGATGAATCTCTTGGTTCGATTTCTCTTAGTGTTGTTTAGGAAGCCTGCAGTGTGTTCCATAAGTTTCGATCATCATCATCATGTAGCAATTCTTTTGCAGAATGTCGCTCTCATCACGGTCTGCCTGAAAGAAACGTCTCTTGACAGCTGTCCTGCCTCATGTAATTCTCTCAAGGAGTCACTTATATCCTATGCCCATCTTCGTGTTGGTCTGTCCCTGCCCATCCTTCCTGGTACTATGCCTTCTGCTATAATTTTTTTCCCAATCCGTCCTGGCGCTTGATATGACCAAAATATTTCAGCTTCCAAGACAGGATGCTGTTTATTAGCCAGTCTTCCTTAATGTTAAGATCTTTCAAGATGCCAGTATTTCTCTTCTTTTTTTGTCCAAGATACATACGTTTCGATACATAGGAAAAATAAACATATCA